CTCATGCCCCGTGTGTACAGTGCGTCAAATCAATTTCGAGCTGACGGAGCACCAGCCGAACGGCAGGACGGGATGTTTGCCGGAATGCTGCTTCATGGAAGCCGGCTTAACCGCATTGACTCCACATCCAGAGTTTGATTGGATGGGGCCGAGTGCCTGCGAACGGTGTATGCAGCTGCAATTGGAGATCTCTCACAAACTGAAATTACAGAAATCATGGAGCTGGGAGTGTGAGTGTGCAGTGAGTGAGTGAGTGGGTAAGTGGCCCTTCTGCAGTCTCTGGACATTGCGGCGCATGAGTGACTAAGTCTCTGGAGACTGCTGGGAGTGTGAGTGTGCAGTGAGTGAGTGAGTGAGTGAGCGAGTGAGTGGAGGAGGGGGCGAGGAGGACGGAGGGAAGGAAGAAAGGAAGGAAGGAAGGAAGGGCGGATGCGGGCGGGATGGCACCAACAAAACTAGAACCCCACACAGAGATGTGGGGAAAAAGCCTAAAATCCACACTCTAAGGACGCGATGTGGACTGCTCTGGATGGTGACGCAGCTGTGACAGAAGGTGATTTGGTTGAGAACCCAGTTGAAGGCGAAGAAGAAGAAGAAGAAGAAGTAGCCGAGGATGAGGAATGCGACGATGACATTAAAGATGTCAATGTCACGTAGTCTAATTTCTGAAGATGTTGGTTAGCGAGGGCGAAAATAACACACTCAGATTTAAAGCCTGGTGACAATGGTTTTCCCTCGCTGATCGTTCCGGAAACCCGGACCAATTCCACCCTGCAGAAAGAGCCAGTCAGACTTGTGTGTGCGCCAAAAAGGTGATGGAAAGTCTTTGCTTTCCAATGTGCGTGTTGGACAGTGCAACTTTGAAACGGTTTTCTTTATTGTATTGACATCTTCATACTTCCAATTATTAATTGGAAGTATGAACTTTCTTCAAGATAACATATTAGTCGTGCACATACATAATATCAAATACAATATCTAACCCTCAAATAATAACACACACACAATGTAAATAGTGTTATATATTTATCCCCCCAAGCCTAAACCTTGAAACAATACATGCAATGTAATGATGGTATAGCACATACATTGCATCCAAAAGTTTCAAATCATTACCGCTAGATGGCCTGGCTCAGTATGCAATATGTTTTGTGAAGTTTCAATGCACTCTTTTGCTTTATCGAGAAGGATGGGGGCAAATTTTACCCCCATCCTTCTCGACTCATCCAAGTCTGAGTCTCATCCTTTCGAATTTGAATGTCCAAGTCACCAAGCAAAGTTTCAAGTGACTTTACACGTGCCAGTCACCAGCGAAAGTGTCAAAGTGGTACAAGTGCCAGCGAAAGTTTCAAAGTGGTGCAAGTCACCGGCGAAAGTTACTATGCCTCTACAGATGGCATGCTAACTTATTCTCAACCACCCTTTAGTTTCAACTACCCTTTCAAAGGAAATCTCCTTACTATTAGATGGAAGAATGAATACCCCCTGCAATCCCTTTGGCTAACGCGTGGGAGCCATTGGGTGGTGTGTTGTGCCTCCCTTTGGGAGGGAAATCAACACTGGATCCAGCAGTTTCTTTGTTGCAATGCCTTTCACTGCCATACTCAAGATTAGCCTCTGCTTTTCGTATGTGCAGACAGTAATATGGGCTGTACTACGGAAAGGGAATTTTCCACGGCTTGCCAAGCTTTGCAACCGATGACTCTGTGGCATTTGTCATCATCTCACTGCTGACACTACTCATGGCACCTTTCGTAATGTCAAAAACTTCGTGTGCCAAACACCATATGTGGCTTGGATGATCTCATCCTAGCCAAGAGTGAGTGGCCACCTTTGATTGGCCAATCAGAGCAACCGCCCACGACCAGAAGCATTTTGCCTTTCGTAGTGAATTCAGGCCCTTTAGGTATTTTGCAGCTCGTCAACTTTTCACCTGTCTCACTTCAGCACAGAGGAAACACTGCTCACATTGGCTAGGGGGCCTTGGTTGTGTTTTGTTTTTGGGTTTTTGGTTTGTGTTTTTTTGGTTTGCTGTTTTTGGTTTTCTTCCCCCACCAACTTGCAGTGTCTCCATACTTTCATTGATGACCTGGGCACACCGCCCCGCACTCGTGGAAAAAAAATGCGATAGGATGGACCATGGCACCGCGCAGACGGGTCAAATCCGTACCGTTTTGGCTCAAGGTTTTGGGTTCAAGCTCATCGTAAAGTGGTGAGCAGGAGGATCAAGTTAAGAGAAGAGAATTCCTCTGAAAGTAGTTGAACCCCCCCTTGTAGTTAGTTAGTTTTGTGCCGTGTCCTTCTTTGCGTTTCGCTTCTCGCTTGCTTTGTGAGAATTTGTCCCCTTGCGGTATCCTTAGATACCGTCTTGGGTGATTGCCGACCTGAGCCTCGGTAGCCTTTGCTACTGTCTTGGGTGACTTCGAATTGTTTTAGGTCCTTGTCTGCCTTACCGCACCTTATCATGCTTGATAAGGAACCTTGTTGCCTGATCGCACAAGCCATATATAATGATCTCTTCTTAGCCATTACTGGGCAGGGGCCTCTCAGGCAACACTTGAGTCATCGAACTGCTGAGTTTCACAAGATTTACTTTGTGTGTCGTTACCGTGACGTCACATGACCCGATTCCACGGTCATCGTTTTCTCTCAAACCCAAGCCCAAGGGGCGGGACCGTTGTGCGCCAAAAAAGGCGCGATGCGCTCCGCTTCTTTCATTGGCTACCCACATTTTGCATACGGTTTCACTAGAGCAAGATCCCAGCGAAGATTATCCAAGCAAGATTCCAGCACCAAAGCGATTCACCCAAGCTAGAGCCCAGCACCGAGGCAATTCACCAAAGCAGGACCCCATGACCAAAGCAATGCTAGCGTAGCAGCAACTCTTATATAGCAGTTCTTTTCGTAGCAGCAGTTCCAAAGCACCACGCACGCAAGTTGCAGATGTACTTATGTCAAACACCCATGCCAAACAACCCAATGTATTGATACAAATGTCTTTGGCAAAAACTTTCTACAGAAGAACCTTTCGCTGGTGTTCCTGGGAAAAACACGCATTTTCTTTGAAACTGCGGAAGTTAAGCCTCAAACCCACAAAATCGAGGTGCTGGCTGAGGGTAAAGCTAATCTCAGTCTAAATTTTCCACGTTGTTGGACATGTTTTGTGGATTCATGTCAAAGCGGCACCATTCGCATTTTAGTCAGAGGCACGTGCTGCATTTCGACAGCTTCGAAATATGTTTCCAATGCGTGGTCTTCCATTTTGTAGCCATGTTTGAGGCCGAAAGAGTGGCTGGTGAATGGGTCTCTCATGGTGCTTGCTGGGTCATAACGTTGATTGATCCTGCTGAGATAGAAGTCGCTCATGGTGAACGCGCCTCCCCGATCATTTGGGCTCTGGCAATTTTGTGTTCTTGAAATTGCAGACTTCAATAACCTAGCGGAGAAACACCACTTCTGGCTTCAGCCACAAATACTCACAGCCACCCATGTTTCCTAGACTGGACAAAACTAACAGATAAGGGCTTGTCTAAGTTGTCCAAGGGTGCTCACAATGGACAACGTCGAATGGTGGAAATAATGGACAACGCAAGCGACATGTGTGCCACTACCTGCTACATGTACCGATGCTTGCAGGGGTACTACATGCTACATGTCCGCAAGGCTCGCGTGTGGACCCGCACGGGTGTTCGGTGTGTGACACGTTGTGAAGGACCTCATGTCATTCGGATTCGAACCGAACCACTGGCAGTGGAAACTACAACAAGAGGTGCTGTGAATTCTTGGCAGTGTCTCACAGGAGAGACACTTTAACAGTTGGTGGCAAACCCCAAAAATGATCCCTTGAAAAACCGATGCCACTAGCATTCAGAAGCGAGGCCTACATTGTGAAGCTTTCATTTGATTGCGGATCTGTGAGACAAGGACCATATCATAGGGTGATAAAGTGATCATTGGAGCACCAGTGATTTTCAAGATGGTTTGGGCGAGTTTCTTGTCGGGCACGCTCGCCTCTTCCAAGCTTCGAAAAAACCAAGTCGCAAGGTGAATAGATAGTGATAACCACTTGATTTGATTTGATTTGATTTGATCTACTGTACTATGGACGGATGGATGGATTGGATCCTCTTTTCTTGCAGCGGAGCTCCCAGGATGTTTCACGAAGTAAATGCCCTTCGATGCTGGTCAAAGACGCAGATGAATAAAACCTAATGCTTCACATGGAATAACATGAGACTTGATGTAGATACCCCCGATATGCTGAGGTTTTTACAATCCATGTTTGGGGGCCTCGGGGGCTTTGATTTTAGTGTACATTCAAGACTTCAAGAGTCTACATTTGGATTTCGGATGCCCCTCCGGGCCCCTCCGCTTCGGACCTTTCTTTCCTCTTCGTTTGGATTCTCTTCGTGTTGCTTGACGCGTGGGACAGGTCACCGGTGAACGGGCCACACTTCAGAGGATCTCCGGTGAACGGGACTGTTCACGACTCGCCAGGTGTCGTGGGCGGTTTCTCCCGTTTCTTCGGGTGTGGAGGCGCGAGTTCGAGGGCGGGAGGATGGGGAGGATGGAGACGAGCCTTTGTGGAGCGAATGACTCTCATCACCTCAGTATCCATGGGGCCTTGGAAGAGTCAATGATCCCGTTGGTGACCCTGCAAGTAAACTCGTCCAGTCCCATGGATGCTGTGGGCAGAATTGATTGGGTGTTCCCCTAAGAATCCGGTCCTGAACCAATGGAAAGGTCCCAGGATTCTTAGCAGTGAAGGTTGTTTTGATCTTGTTCTTTTCACTTTGGAGCTCAACATTCAGTTCGGCATGTGTCGAGTTCCAACGAGGGGAACGCTTCATCGCATCATCAACGAGGGAACGCCACCCACAAGGATCCACCCTCCCTGTGACCCCCAAAGGGAGAGTGACCCAACGGTTTTGTGGCGTCCAAAACACCCACGCCGAGACCCGGAGAACTGGGACGTGGCAAACTGGCCAACGAGACGACCGTGTGGACGAAGAGGCGACTTGTCGTCTGGGCTCGAGCATCTCCACACGGAGACTGACCGGTGTCGGCCTCCTCTCCGCTGAGAGGACTTCGCGAGCGCTCGCTGGACCGCTCCCGACCCGCCTGGGAACCCCGCCCCCCGCACCGCTTCGCCAGCCGATGGCGCGCGTGAGTTCGGAGCGATGGGTGGAGCACAAGATGGGCCGCAGCGGGCCGCGGCGACCCTCGTTGTGCCCCGGCGACCATCTGGGGGTCTTTGAAGCGGGGGCGGAGGTCGGAGGGGCGGTCTTTTGGAGAAGACCAAAGGGGGTGACACAGCGGAGCGGTGGATTTAGAGTTGCACACGCGAATCAGAGTGAAAAGGCCTAGGTCGCAGCTAGCTCAATCTTTTGGATCAGTGCACCTCTGGTTTATCCTCTGGTTTAGCAAGTTGGGTCTACTAAATGCTATCTCTTTTTCTGTCACCAGGTGCCTTTAGGATCTGTCAGGTTGCCTATGCCAGTCCCAGGGGTCTGGTCCCATGGGACTGGCATATGTTTACATTCACTCCTTTTCCACCGCCCCAAATGCATGAAACCACCCTTCCAGCCCCACCGCCGTGTCGAACTTGGGACGCTACGCTAGAAAAGGGTTTCCTCGATTCCCTGTCCCAGTACTGTTGCGAAGGGATTCGAGAAAACCCCTAGTCTTTTTTTTGTTGGGGAGCAACCTGCATGAAGCTTCGGAGCTCGCGTAGTCCACCTTTGGACCGAAACAGCTTGGAGAGGATGACTTTTGACGAGTTCCCATGCACCCAAAAACGACTCCATCGATCGAGGTGGGGTGGAGGAGACCGGGGTCTCGACCGCTCTCCGTTCGCCCAGGTTGCTGGGGTGATGTGAGACGAACCAGAAACAAAACCGGGTGCCAGCTTGAGGATCCCTTTTCTTTGGAGGTGGCTGGGAGGGAAACATTTTTCTGCTTGGGACGGGGTAAACCCAGGATGTTCGAAGTCTGTGCGGCGAACTCAAGCTCCATGGGGTCAGACCGAGCTTGTTTTTTAAGGAAAAAGGCCACGGGGGGAATTCAGAGCTTCAAGGATCCACATATCTTCTGTATTCTGGGTGATGTGTTCGAATGTGTTCGACACCTTAAGGGTACGACTCTGGACTGGACGTGTGGCTTCGTCGAAAAAGCCTGGATCCCTGAAGACGGGACCTCGTTGTCTTTGCGAATCCATCCAGGGAACCCCAAACGCCACGAGGGGTCAGTCCGCTTCGTCCGCGGGCCCAAATGGCCAGCAATAAGCCTTTCGAGAAAGGTGCCCTTTCGTTCCGCCCAGGATGGACAATGCTTATTCGACCAAACACGCACCTTTAACGCCCGGAGAAGTGGAGATCGACCTCGAAGAGAAGACGCCGGGGCCAAGACCGAAACCCCGGTGGGGCCGGTGGGTTTTTCATGGGAGTGTTTTCTAGGTCACTTCGGGGCTCTCGATGGGTTAAAAAAGAGCCCTTTCGAAGAACTGTCGGGTAGCCTTTTTAAGCAACAACTACAGTAAAACAGCTGGTTGTTTGGTTTCCAAGAGCCTTTCAAAACGCCGGGGGAATCCTAGACACTGAGACTGGGCTTTTTGACGTTCGCCACGGACCGTCAGTCCCTGGTGCGTTTTTGTGTCGCTTCGTGCCCAAACAAAAACCCTGCGCCAGGGCGGTTTCGCGGCGGTGGGAACCCGTGTCTATTTATAGACCCTTAGCTGTGATTCGGGGTGTCCATTCACCACCCTTTGTGACTCCTGGGAATATTACAGTACTTCTTTTTTAATGAAGAAACGTGACCCCCCCCGCCTTCCAAGAGAAAGACCAGAGACCAATCGAAGCAAGTTGCTGGACAGGATCATGTTGGGGAGGAGTTCCAGCTTCTCCTGGGTGGAGATCACTTCTGCTTCCCCTATGCTGCTAGCATCTCTAGTAATATCAGCCAGATGGACCATGCAGGCATAGACTTGACACTCCCTGCCATGTCAAGCGTCTCCAGCAAGTCCAAGCCCGAAATCTGGTCTCCCCCTCTGAACAGACGGCCGACTCCGTCTGCTCACGTCCACGACCGAGGAAGCCACAAGTGCATCAGAAACAGGCCCCGTCCTGCCTGGCACTGACTCGTGCGCCCGATCCAACTCGTCCACGCGGTCGACTCGGTGCCGTGCGGTTTTGGGACATCCGATGGAGCTCGAGCAACGCCGAAACCGCGGTTTGAGCATGAAGAGAGTGACCTGGATTGACCTGGGCTGTTGGTACTATGGCAGCCTTAGAAGAACAGCTTTTGGAGGAAGAACACATTTTGTTTTTTTTGGGGGCTGGTTCTTATAGTAAATACAGTATATTATATGTATACGTATGCATATATACATATTAATCATGATAGTTGTCCTGCTCGAATCAGTCAGGTAGATTTGGTTTAGATTATTTTTGGAGAACGGACATGGTTTTCGTTGCGCACAGACGCCGGGAAAGGTGAATCAACGAATGCCGATTTGGCGGGTCGAAACCCACACACCGAGCATCTTCCGGGCATGGCACTTTCCCCGAAGACACATCCTAACACCCAAGACCTGCATCTGTCGTCCGGACGGGGTCGACCGCCGTCAGCAGGCGCCGTCGCCCGGAGCCGTGCGCGGCCCGTCCACGCGGGAGCGGGAGCAGCGCGCGGTGAAGTTTACGTCGGAGCCCGCAGCCGCGCTGAAGCTGATTGACACCGAGAAGCGGCTTGGTAACAAGAAGCGACTAGGGTGGAGGCAGTGGAGGCCATTACTACAAGTAACAAGCGACTGGACACCGAGAAGCGACGTTCTTTTTTTTTCTCACGAAAAACATCAGACTTGACAAGTCACTTCAGCGCACTGGTGGAGATCCTGCCGTGCCTTTTGTCTTTGTGAGTTCCTTCGATCCCCGAGGCGAGGCTGTGGCACATGCCTGGCGCCCCTGCCCTACCGCGCACAGGCGCGCGGGGTGACAAACGCAGCAGTGGGGTAGGTGAGCAACGCGGATGGAGTCCAGGTCGACGATGTTTGGGCACCAGCGAAGTGTTCCGAACATCCCTGAGATCAACTGGACTCCCAGGGACCGCGCTGCTTAGGAGCTGTTGGTTGTTGGTTCATTTTCCGTTGGGAAGAACGGATTTGATACCTCTACCGTGCCCAGCGGTTTGGGGGTGGAATGCGAGGGCCTCTAAACCTGTGGAAACACTGGGGGAAGGACAGTTTTGATGTGACTGAGCAGCAGTGTGACACTTTGATCTTGTATCGACATGGGTGCGTAGGCTCAAATAAGGAGATCTCCCAGGCAATGATCCCCTGGTTGATCTGGTTGGACTTCACCAGTCTACCCAGCCAGAGACCCTATTGAACCGTACACCGTCTCTCGGCAGAACTGAAAGCCAACGACTCGACGGCGCGCAAGCGAACACGCGCCACGCCACTCGAGCCACACGCGCGGAACACGCCACTCGAGCTTCGGCGCCGCCGAGCTTCGGAGCGGAGCTTCGAGCTTCTGCGGTGGAGGATCCGATCGACTCGCAGATGATGAATCCCTTCGCCAAGCCCTGGAGTCCGCAGGCGTGGAGGACTCGGAGCGCGCTTCCTCGACGGGTCGGTGGGGGGGCTGCGACGATCGGGTGAAGGTTCGGGTGAAGGAGCAGCTCAAAGGGCGTTTGAAGGTGAAAAGGGATAAAGGGTGATAGCAAAAGATCAGCCAGGTGCCGTTCTCCTTTTTTTGGGAGGAACAAGCTGTCGTTTTAAGTCCATTCAGGCTTCACTGGGACCAGGTCACACAGATGAAAAGTGTATTTACCCTAGCTTGGTTCACCTTTATGTAGTGTGAGGTTTGTAAAATCCATAGGGTTGTTAGGTATTCCTATGAACAATCACTGGTGGTTCCAAGCATCCAAGAGCGGTTGATGACAGACGCTGCCGCATCAGCCTGAAGCCCCATCATCTGGGCCTTCTGGGCCTTCTGCACGCAGCAGGTCGGCCAGTGCAATCCTTGCATCGGAGTGATCCAACAACCCATGCAGCAGATGCCGCAGCCCATGCAACAACCCATGCCACAGATCCAACAGGCGGTCTGCGGCGACGGTGTGGGCTGGGCGATCTTCGACGGGGTGCCCCAAAGGATGCTTCCAAGGGGCGCCTCTTGGAAACCGAACCGGGGCAGTGGGGATCCTTTCGGAGTCTTTGGAAAAAGGGTGGTTTTGGGGTGAAACCGTGGAGACACTTCACCTCTGCTTGGGATGCAGTTTCAAGGTGAAGTCCTTGTGCCGACGCCTTTTGGGTGCTTGCTCTTTGAGCAAATGTATGCTCCGGCCTGGGGTCGCAGGGAAGATACATACCTCTCATGCACACTCCGAATCACCGTGAGAACTGGAAAACGCACTCCTTCCTTTGGAGTCTGGGGTCATCATGAAGAACTCACCCCAACCCGGCGGAAGTCCCTTGCGACGATTTTTTTGCACCAGCGAAGTGAAGGACATTCCTCGACTGCGGGGATCACCTCAGAGACCAATTTAAACGTGGTCGACTGGAGGAGTCCAGAGTGCTCTTACTTCATGGGCACCTCTTCTTTTTCGAGGCACACGAGACCGAAATCATGCGCATGGAATACCTTCCCCTGACTCAGGGAATGCCACAGCAGCCGATGCTGGGACAGCCCATGAACCAGCCCATGGGCCAGCAGCCAATGTATCCACAGTCGATGCCGCAGATGGGGCACCTGGGCGGAAGCCGGCTGAGGGTCGGGGGTCTCCAGAGTTGGTCTCCAATGGCGGAAGATCTGGGGGCGGAGATTTTTTGGAATAGCTTTCCATGTAGATGAGACCTTCCATATACCACCCTGCAACAGGTCACCAATAGATCTAACAACCCTCCCTTTGGAGACCTGGCAGTGAGGGTGCTGGTTTTGCGCAGACGCCCGACCCAATCGAACAAGACCAACAAAGAGCCAGTGTTTGGACTTGAACATGCAGTGAAAAGGCTTCCTGTGCTTTGTTCACGGCATTTTCAGGAAGGAGTACGTTGTCGTTACGTCCTTAGAATGAGACTTGAGAACGTCGCGCATCTGGTGGCCAACCCTATGGCCTTTCAAGCCCTCCACCCGGTGCAGCCTCGTCCGCACCTCGCCCGCCGAGGCAAAGCATGCCACAAGGGGCCGTTCCTTGCTTCTACGCCACCCCGTGGCCTCGGTTCTGAGGGAGGGGGAGGAGGCGTACGCACGCGGCGGTAACGTTGGAGTCGGGCCGGTGGTTGGGCGGTTGGGGGGTCGCCGGTTGGAGTGGAGGAGACCCTGTGGCCTGCACACTGCGGAAATGATCGAAAGGATGATGTCAAAGACTCCTGTCCGAAAGTTCAACAAAGACACGAACGGAAAGAGGAGGACTCCCAGGGCTGTATGAGTGTGCAGTGTGTGTGTGTGTTTGTTCGACTCAGAGATGGAGATAGTTGCAGGACCACGGGGAAGTGTCTTTGCCTACGGTTTCCTCAACAGCATACCGTAATATCATATCCAAGTCCTTTTTGACTCCCTTTGGGGGGACTGGGTGCCGGTCGTTGAGAAGAAGGTCATGACGTGATACACCTGGAGTTGCGCTGACCATGAGAACACTTTGGCTTTATGCGTAGACCAAGAGATGCGTAGAAGATATCTCACAGCTGGCTTTATATACAATCCAATGGTTAGGCTCATGGAATAAATCCTTCACCACCTGGCACCTGGCGTATGTACCACCGGCACTATACCTGTCACAGGCAATGCTTGTTTTGTTTGGTTGGTTGGCATTGGTTGGTTGGTTGGTTGGTTTGTTTGTTTGTTTGTTTGTGCTACGGTCTGAACACTGGACTCGACTGGGGAGTTCTGCCTGGAGTCCTCCTCCGAGTGAACGCGGGTCCAGAACTTCTAGTTGGCCACCACGAACCCGAAGATGAAATTCCAAGCCCTACGGAGAAGTTGCGCACGGTTGTTTTGGCACAGTTTTGCCATCTTGAATGCTTGCACTTGGAGTCACTCGCATGGCATTGTCTCATAAGTTCTACGTTTTGTCTTTCACCCGATTCATGTTTGTGTTCCTGGGCGATTTGTTGGTGCTTTCTCAAAACGCCAGACACCCGGCCAGTCGACGTGCTCTCAAGGATCCTGATGTAAAGGCCGAACTCTGTGTGCAGATCACCATATCCCAGAATGGGAATAGTGACCGAAATAGCCTATATAGATGGGTCACGTGAGTAAATGTAAGTTCGCAGACGCTCATGAACCCTCATATGGAGGGGTCGGACCCTCATATGGAGGGGTCTGGGGTCTCAAATCCCTAGGTTTTGAGGGATTCAAGGGCTGTTTGGAGCGTCTGGGTTGTAAGAAACTGGTCTCGAAACCCGAAAAAATAATGCTCCAGGAAGACGAATTCTATTGGTCCTATTCCGATACAAGACTAGTTCATGACCACAGTGGTCATTGGATGAAAACCCAGTCGACCATCCTCCCTTTCCAAATCTTTGAGTTGTAGATGCCTCGCTCATACGCTTTGCGCTCGAACCTCACCCCCCTAAACGATGAGTTCACAGACCCAGTTTTGATCAGTTCACACTCACCACCCTTTGGCTTTTCAACCTCATCTGGGTCTTGACGGCTTTCTTCTGAGGATCCAAGTGGCCGCTCCTTACACCACCATGGCGCCCTACCAGCCGCCCCATGGGCAAGTCTCGATGGTCCCCTGGCAGAACCACGCCACGGGCGCCGCCACGTGCGCTGCTTTGTCCTTTGGGACCCAGGGAGTTTGGGACGGTACACTCCCTAAGAGCTCGGAGTGCCAGAAAATGAAAGGGGGCTTCATGGCATGGGTGGAGACAGGGAATTTTTGGGGTCAAAACCAAGGGAAGTCCTTTGAGGAGATGGAGTCTCCGAACATCATCCCTTCTGAAAGGGTGATGTGTTCGACTCAAACTGTAGGCCTGGAAAACCCCCCAACCACCTTCGAAGTAAAGAACTATGATCCGACCCAAACAGTGACAGCTGTTGTTGAGCTTGTGGCTTGTGGCTTCCCGATCTCCGATCCTCTCTGATTGGCATCTGAGTGGATCGAACGCCACCCGTTTCCGCCGTTTTTTGGGGGACGTTTCGTCTTGCAGTGGGCCGGTGGATTGGAGCGGCGAATTGGGGTCCAATTCGCGGACCTGACTTTCATGGGTTTTCTGAGTAGAGTGCGTAGAGGGGATAGAGCAGGTGCATGTCTTGAACTATAATTGGTAGGTACACAATAGTAGAGGGGATAGAGATAGAGCCGGGAGGAACTCACAAGCTTCGAAGCCCTTCTTTTGGCTCGCTCCCTCTCGCTCACGCTCGGACCACCCGTCGGAGGGGTTTTCAACAAAGACCCCGTTGTCGTTGCCCGAGGTCATGGTACAAAACCCTGGCTCATCACCGGCACAGGCCGGGCTTGGTCTTCGTGTTTGCGCTGTTCTTCTTTGTTTCGTTGAGGGAGTTTGGTTCACGAAAGCAACACGAAACTTATTGCATTTCAAGACCATTGTAAAACCATCTGACTAGACGACACGAAAAGGAATTTTCCTTTACTTCGGTGGTACCCCCAAATAGTCCCACTGGACTTCATCCCTATCAGCTTTTGACCTCCCCAGAAACCCATCACTCCACCCTCCACCCTTCCAGGCCGAGGTTGGGCCTGTGGGCCCCATCGCGCCGTCGCCCTTGGCGCCCATCGGCCCGGGCCCCATCGCGCCCTCGCCGCCCTTGGCGCCTATCGGCCCGGTGGGACCGCAGCACCATGGCGCAGGGCCTCCGGTGCATGGAACGGGGCCCGCGCAGGGCGAGCCGCCGCTGGGGTCGTCGGAGCTGCCGTCCAAGGGGTCGGCGCTCCATGCGTTTCGGGCGTGCAAACCATGTGCCTTCTTCTATCAGGAAGGCTGCTCCAACAAGGCGCGGGTGGTGGGGATGTTTTCTTTACAAAACCACACAAGGGGTGGTGATGGTTTTAGTTTAATCATTTAATATATATATATATAATCTAAAGACTAAAGACTAGCAAAGATACTTGTGGCGGGAGTCCGAGACTATTAAAAACACAGCCTTTAGGTCCGTGAGCCGAAGAATGACTTTAAAGCAGGTGCCTTCAGATCTTCTGGACCAATAGGTATATAATGGTATATATGTACCAGCACCACGGAAAGGGTGTCCATTAATAGCCCCTTGACCTCCAAGGGGTGTCCATTCACCACCCGTTGGGGGTCCAGGTATGTCATGCATTATATATACATATAATATCCCAGATGCTCCGTTCACAGCCCGACCGGTGCCTCAAAACCCGAAGCTTGGTGAGTTCGGACCACCGGGATTGAGGAGATTTGGGGTACGGCCCCCTTTTTTTGCGCTCACGGAGGGTCCAGGGTCACGGCTGCAGGTCTGGGTAAAAGTCAGTTCATCCGCTTGGATCCGGCTCTGTCAGCTCCGTCAGCTCCGGTAACGTCTCGTGTTGGCGGGTCGTTCAGGAGCAGTGCGCCTTCTGCCACCTCTGCGAGCCGGGCGAGCGGAAGCGCCGCAAGAAGGAGCGCCGCATGGCTCGGCGTGAGGCGCAGGAGCGCCGCATGGCTCGTCACACGGGGGTGGAATTGGAGCGGAGCCGGGTGGTTGGAGGTGGTGGAGCCTAGAAACGAGCTGGCAAAAACACCGAGTGGAGCCGGGAAAGCCCCCAAAGCTGGGTGCCCTCATGAGTGGAAGCGTGGAAGGCTTGCATGATTGCGGAGCAGAGGTGAAGCATTTGGGGTCTCACAGCTGGGAGAGGTGGGTGACGAAACATGGGCATCCTCCGAGGAATCAATGGGTCTTCTAGATGAACGTGTGAGACCTGGTCGGAGTTGTTCGTGTAGACTTCCGGTTTCATACAGATGGGAACATCCTGGAACCCTGAACAACCAGAAACAATTGGATGTTTCATGATGTTTCCCCAAACTGCCATTTCCTATGTAAAGGATTTCACTTGCCATGTTGGCTGTGGTTCCAGGATCGGAACATCTCCACTCCACAAAGTGTTGTATCTCCCCAACTGTCCAGACGGTCCAGCTTCTACTCAACCTGGTCGAGTTCTCAATCTGGTGATTTGGGGGTTCCCCGGTTCGTTGAAACGATACAGCAAACACCACCACAAACCCGGTTCGTGTCCCGTCCGCAGATTGCAGTTCCCCGAAATGGCCTCTACAGTCGGATCGGTGGTCTCCCCCCTGCCCCTGTTCCAGTGACTCGACCCGCCCTCACGTCGCCCCGCCCTGTCGGACGTCGAACGGGGCGTCTCCGCGGCTCCAGCAGTTCCGCCAGGAGGGATGAGACGCTCAACCCGCGGGCAAGGTCTCGATCCGTCTCAACCGAGAGGAAAACTCTCTCGGGGAGCCGCCGAAGTGAGGTCAGTGTGTTCTTTTTTTCGTTTTTGTTTTTCTATTGTTCAGGTGTTATTTGGTGAGTTGCATCGCTCTGGCCTTGACAGTTGGGGGGATCTATGTTCTGTTTTTTCGATGTACCGCTGCATCCACTGTAGATGCTCCTTGAACTTTTGTGCTGACGTTGGAGGTTTGGAGGCGGTAGTCTTCTTTGAAGCCTTGTTCACTGAATCCTTCTGTTCGGAAAATTATACTTTTTCGCTCCCTTGGGAAACAGAAGCCATGATTGTACAGGAGTCTTCGTTTTTTGGACAAGACCGCAACATGACTCATGACACCACAGGCGGTTCCCCAGTCTAGTTCGGCAGATCCAGGGTGTCGGCGCAACACGTGGCGGGCACGGGTCGGATGGAAGACTGACACGGAACTCGTCACGGTGGTGGATGGAAGGGATGTTTAGGCTTTTCTTTTTCTGCAAGAGCCACTGTCACTATAGATTGAAGGTTTTTTGAGTGCCACTCAGTGTTGAGGTCTTCTGAGAAGCAGTTGGTCTTTAGATTGATTTGGGAGCTCTATTTTTCCTCCTTTCCAAATGGGAATGGACCAATAAACAGATTTTGGTGAGTGAGTTTAACAGAGCCATGTTCATGTTGAGTGGTACTTGCACTGTAGGACACCGTCGGGTGGTACTTGCTCAACGAGACTCATGCGTCTCTGTCAAACGAGACTCTGCGTCTGCTGGACGATGGTCCCGAAGGGTCGACTGTGACTCATAGACGACCCCTGACGACCCCGACTGGGCCCTAGTGGTGGATCATGAGTCTGACTGCCGGGGTTTTCAACGATTGAAAGACAATCCTTAAAAGCAAAGGACTCCTTTGCATCGATTCATGCGGCTTGGAACCATGGGCTTTTCCCAATGTCTGGAGCCGACCACAGCGCACCCGCAGAACCCTTTCGACCGGCTCCTGGGCACCTCCCGTGGGATCTTTTTGAGGGGTGCTTCAGTGACCAGGCTCCCAGTCCGGCAAGACGGGTCGCCCCCCACCAGAGGTTGAAAAAACCCGGATAGACTGTCCCAGGTAACGGGAAAACAATTCTCTGTTCAGGTCACTTCACCTCTGTTGGCAGGTTTTTGGGGTCACAGGTCACTTCACCTCTGGCAGGTGCGTCGTTGTTCTCTGAAATCAGGCGCCCTGAAACCGGCGATCCGATGCCCTGGATTCCCGGTCGCCTTAGAACGTAAGGCGCCGCAGGCCCCATTCCGTTCCGCGTCTCACACTGCGGCGCTGTCGCGAAAGACCCGAAATGGCGTCTCACTGAGGACTGACCTAGCAACTGGCGAAGGAAAAAAGGGGCGACTGACCGATCACGAAGACCTTCATTGCGGGGGTCATCACCGTGATCGGCTTCTCCCCATCCGAACTGGGGCGATCTGGGGCCATGCTCAAGGCCTTTTTGGGGGGTTTCAGGATGTGTTTAGGAGAATCGTGCATGTGAAAGTTCACGACCCCGGGAAGTTCACGACGATGCCGGAAGCGCAGAGAAGACATGGAGCATGTCCACAGAGCGAATAGCAACAGGATCTAACAGGGAGAAAAGGAGGGGATCGTTCCATATCATACGCACGTAGGAGCCATGACAGACGGGAGCCATGCAGTCCTGCACAGACTGCCTCTGTATGTCTTTGGCACCTGCCACCTGCCATTTTTTACAATAGTTCTGTTCATCAATGGTAAAGATAGAGCTACAGGTGCAGCCAAGGGGGACATCCTATGTTTGTGGTAGGGAGTATTGATGAAAGACATTGTTGTAATATACACATATCAAAATATCAAACCAACAAAACATTCGATAAGGATTCCGTGAGAGCAATCCAGTCAATACCCTGGTCTTTCCTATGTTGTGTGGCGCAGGATATCGTCTGCCTGGAGAAAAACACATCCGAGACGGGTCTATCCTGGACAAAGCCAGTCTTGAGACCAACCCAGTTGGAGCGCTCTTGAGCCGTACCCATTGGTGTTATTTTTTTCATCTTGGAATCTTGGCTTCAACACGGTAGTGGAAAATTCGGCACTTCCTCTACCACGCCAGGCGTGCCTCAGCTGCCGAGACAGACGCGCAAAAAGAGAACCCTGTTTTTGACCTGGGCCGACCGTCGGGAAGATCGACTTGCATGGGGCTCTGAAGGTGGTGCAATCTACTGGTCAAATCACGCGTGATGGAGAACTACTCGGACAAAGGGTTCGACCACAGATCGAGTTCGGCCCCAAAAGCGAATGATTGAGGTCCACAACATGTCTCCCCCCAAAGCTTCTTCTTTTGGTTTGGTGCAGCATCTTTGGCTTGAGGATCTCGTAGTCTTCCAAGAGGCCATGCCCACCATGCATCAGTCTCGGGGCCATTCTCTACGACTGGTGTAACAAGTCTTCAGGCCCGTGCGGCACTCAAAAGGGAGCCGCCCCCAAAATCAAGCAATGCCTGTCTCGGTGATGTCATGAAGGAGTAAAGCCTGTCCGATCTTCGTGTGCTACGATCCACTGACAGCCCACGCGGTGGAGGTCCGACTTTCACATTTCCACCAGCTTTCATAGCTCGTGGATGAAGCGAAGATGAGTTCAAAAAAATGATGAGGCAAATGACCCTCTCCAGTTGTGTTTGTTGCTGCACCCGCTCCATATAGGTAGGGAGCTAACTTGGCTTCTATTTTTCCAAGGCTTTCTGGAGAGAAGTCTCATATTTCTGTTCAAAAGTGTTGAATTCATGCCGAATTTCCTCTTGAATGACTTGACGTCACGGGCAATGCTTTCCTTCCATGCATGATCATTCTTTCCATCTGCCTTTTGCTTAAGCGTCTTTATAGCTTCAAACACCGCCAGACTACACTCACCATGTTGCCTGTGCGGCTCTCAGTGTCAGTCGGATGGGGCAATCAAACAGTTAACAACTGTTGGGATGTACTCCACAGAGTAGATAACTTATCCAGTAGGTGGAGTACATCCCAACTATCCTCCCCAGATGACTGCTTCAGTGGAAGCTCATTGTCCAAGAACCCTAGTGTTACTTGAAAAAAGAATAACGAATTAAACATGCGCCCTCAATATATCTACTTCTTTGCAGTACCTGAACAGATGTCCCATGGGATTGCCGGACTATCGCTGAACTCGCACTTGCTCTTGGTCTGTAATTTCCCGGCCTGAGAACACTAGTGGGCCTACCATGTTTCCAATTTGTTTCGGCATCTTTTTCTCAAGTCCGTGCTGCGATGTCATTAGGAAAAGGTTCTCACAGCAAAGTTCTTAGTCCAACTAGGTCAACACGCGTCGTTCCGGCGCAGGGCTCACAGCAGTGTGATTCAAAAACCAGTCGAAACTCTACGGCCACTGTAAGTAAAACCATTTTCCTGTGTCGTCCAGATGGTTTGGTGCCATGTCAGGTAGGAGCAAGATGCCTTTTCGGCCAGCAAAGAGTAGCGGGTCGAACCATTGACATTGACAACTTGCACATTTGGAACCTGGTCCTACTCCGACCCTTCCAGCTTCTTTTTCCGACAATGCGTTTGATGTTCCTATCCTGGTTCAAGACTTGGTTACAAAACATAATGCTTTCGGGTGCTTTGATACGTAAAACAAAGGGTCAAAGGCTTGCTTTTTCTTCCATTGGATATAGTACAGCATGAGATGATATAGCTTCAAAGTCCCCGCCGCCCACACCGGTCCCTCATGGGTGAATACACTCTCCACCCCGTCGGTCCATTGATGTGCCTGCTCATGATCTGCAAGCTCAGCCCTGGCAGAGCTCCTGGCGGAGCCCGGTGCAGACCCACATGGAACCTGTTGGAATGAACCTCAGACTGGAAGACCATTTTCCGAATACCAAACCAGAAGCGGTTTTCAGGTTCCATGTGGGTCTCTTCCAGGGAGTATCTGGCTTTGAAGTGCTGCAAGGGTCGAAGCTATCACATGTAAGGGATTGTCCAGAAACCAATGCTCTGAGTGGGCCGTTCTAATTCTTTGTAGTTGAGAGCGTCCAGAATTCCCACATCTGACTGGTGGTTCCACAAGGTTCCAAAAGAGGATCTCTTGTCTTTTAGCCAGAATTACGGGGAAATGAGTACTTCGTGTGACACCAAACCCTCTGGTTCTTCTATCCATTGGTATTTTGTGTTACATGTGAACTGAAACTGGATTGAGACAGTGCTTTGTATGATGGTCCACATGAATCTTGCTATAATGGGATGGGTGAAGCCCCACGTCCAATGACTTCCTGGTGGAAACGAACCTTTTCATCAGCATCCATGTGTCAACATAATTTTCCGAATCGCGCGATAAAGAAACCAAATATTGAACAATCGTCCATCATATGTTAGGTCTATTCATCAATGGTCTTCTGCAATAATTGGAAAACTGCGTCCCAACCCATCCGTCCCGTTGCTTCCAAATGAATGCTTGTGACTTTTTGAGGAAGTGTACACCGTGGTCACTGGGCAATAAGCATTTCTTTCTCGTCCAAGCTGAAAACGGGTGCCTGGACTTTGAGCAGAGTCAAGCTTCCAAAAGAAAGGGCCCTTTCTATCGCTAGGACCAAATGGGAGAGTGCTCTGAAATCATGATTTTAGGCCCTGAATAGGGCTTCTTTAGGGCCTTGAATGCCTTGCAGAAACTTTGCGCTACATATTCAAGACCTACGCCCTAAGAAGTATTCTTCTTTCAGGCAGTCATCAGCGAAAAGCCCTATTAACGAAAGTCTCATTCCAACTCCCAGAAGTGTAGCTCACCACCAGCAAATGTAAGCGGACGTAATTAAAACAATCTAATTTGGCTTTCTTGCATTTGCTACCGGCTGGACGTACAACAGGCAAGTCTCCATTGCCGCGTTATTTTCATTGACCTTCAGACCACGTCGTCACCGTTGTCGTTGTCTTCATGGTTTTCTCAGCTAACTCCTGAGATCTTTACCTTTGCTGTATGGGCCTGACGTGAAGCGTAAGCCGACATGAGAGGTGGGGATGCATCAGTCAGGGTTCCGGGTTCCATGGGAATACATTCTGCTGCTGTACATTGCACCAAT